AAAAATTTAAATAATCTACTGCGCCCATCCCTACCCGGCCCCAGTTTGCATGCATCTTTCGCACCTCGCTACGGCCGCTATTGATATGAGACAGGTACACTTTGTCACTTTAGTTCGTTACAACATGGTAAGTTTGTTGTTTTGTTGTTGTTCTGGAGTTTTTGATATGAGACAGGTACACTTTGTCACTTTAGTTCGTTACAACATGGTAAGTTTGTTGTTTTGTTGTTGTTGTTCTGGAGTTTTCAATATATGACTGGCTATACTGTCGGCTGGTATATCTGGTAGAGAAAGAATCTTTAAAATCTCGGAGAAGAATCACCGTTCCAAGGGAAACCACGGGCAAGCTTTTTCACTCACACACTTCGGTTCAGTTGTGTGAATGGTAAAATCAAGCGCTTAACACGAATCGGTCACCTGGGACCAATATAAGTTTGTCTTGTAGGTCCTTGCATTATGGACTCCTGCGTTGTTGCATGCGAATACCAATCAGTAAGTAAATCACCCTACCATAAAAAAAATGCGAAATTAACATGAAATAGTGTCTCCTGGGTTCACGTCTCTTCCTAGGGGAAATCACTGTTCTAATGATTCAGGTAAATGAAAATAAGATGATCGTCTATTGATCTGTACCAATTATTCTTTTTCGCCTAATGGAGCTAGTGATATGATCTGTTATTCCAAGTAGAACTTATCCTTGCAGCTGAGATATTGCTAAGGAGTCTACATGCTTATTAGGTCTTATAATGTCAAAGTATGTTCGCTTCCGAAACGTTGCAGCAATATATATATATATATATATATATATATATATATATATATATATATATATATATATATATATATATATATATATATATATATATATATATATATATGTATGTATGTATGTGTGTGTGTGTGTGTGTGTGTGTGTGTGTGTGTGTGTGTGTGTACAGAATGGTCGTGCAATTCGTTTAATACTCATCCTAATGTGATGTCCCGTACATGATATTATGGTAAAAGTACCAGGCAACAAATTATCAATTAAATAACTGCATAATGTGTTTAGAATAAATCATCTAATTTGAACAAGATCTTAGACTCCGCGTATCATGCACACAAGGAGTTTGTTGCTGAGTGAATGTATTCTGTAAGGCACATTTAGCGGGATCAAATCAGAGTTCGCAACTAAAACTCTGCGCCATTAAAGTAGGTGCTGAATAAAAAATTTCTGGACATTGTGAAATGTAATATAGCTGATATTGTACTACTTCAAAAAATAAAAGCACGAAAACACTTCCCTTACAACATAAACAACATCAAGAAATATTGAACACATTCCTTACTACACCATAAGAAATAGCAACACGTACAACATATTCCGTACTACAATATAAGCAATAGCAACACACATAGACCAGATTCCTTGCTATAACATAAGCAAAAGCAACACATACAACACATTCCTTACTACAACATAAGCAAAAGCAGCAAGTATAGACCACATCCCATACTGCAGAAAAAAACAGCAACAAAATATAAATCACAGCCCTTACTGCAGCTCGAAACAGCAACAAATATAGAATGCATTCCTCATTATAGCATAAAACAGCAACACGTATAGACTACATCCCTTACTACAGCATAAAAACAGCATTACGTATAAACAACATCCCTTACTACAGCATAAAACATCAAAACGTATAGACAACATCCCTTACTACAGCATAAAAACAGCAACACGTATAGACAACATCCCTTACTACAGCATAAAACAGCAACAATTATAGAACGCATTCCTTACTACAGCATAAAACAGCAACAACTATATAATGCATTCCTTACTACAGCATAAAACAGCTACAACTATAGAACGCATTCCTTACTACAGCATAAAACAGCAACAAAATATAGATTATATCCCTTACTAACGGAAACAAAAACGACAAATGCAGACCACCACCACCCTTACTACAGCAAAAAAACAGTAACACACTTAGACCAATTCCTTGCTGCCGTATAAAAACAAACACACATAAGACCACTTTCATTACCATTACATTAAGTAAACACAGGACTGCTATCTTTTCCACTGCATAAAATATGCGAGACCATTTTCTTCAATACTGTAGAAGAACAAACAAATAAGCAAGCAGAATAAAACCAATAAGAGGTTATTTCCATTAGTTCTAAATAAAAAGGGCCGTCTCTTGAGTACTGATTACATAGGAAAATAAATCGGCCATCGACCACTTCAGTAATCATAATGGTATGGTTCTATAAAAGCTACTTCTTTACCTCGCAGCTTTTTCTTCGGTCAGACGAAATCACAATTTTATGCACGTGAACTTGTGGAATGTAATTCATGAAATTTACCAACAGGCGCCCAGGACAGGGAATAGCTATGTGGGGCAAAAAATTGTTGACCTAGATCAGTAACGCACAAAACTATTATTATAACACTACTTGTATACACGTCTTTGAGACTGTGATGTGACAAATAAAATGCACAGGGTTTGATTTGGTATTTATGTACTCATTGTATTTAAAGGAAACTAATATACTTTAACTGTCTCACAATCAACACACGTTCCTCCCCGGGTATCATATCTTCGCGCCGAGTTGCAGGTGGTTTTCCAATTCCACCAATACAATCTTGAACTCGGTCATGCTAATTATTTTATCCTCGAAAGCCCTTGAGTTCAGTCTACTAATAAATGTGTCCAAACTACTTTGTACAGCCGCAAGAAGTTATGAGTAGATTCACATTCTATAATGCAGCCGTATTGAGATTATTTAACTAGTACCACCAGAGACACCAGTTACTGTTCATATAGCCCAGAAAACAATTCCAATCGGTGTACCTATAATAGTTTTTGTGGTTGAGATTACCGCCACACCCAGAAAAAGGATTATTGTCGCGGCTATTCCACAAAATACATTGGTAAAGGACATACACCTTTGTATTTCACGAGTAGCGCGGTTCTTTCAGAGATTTCATCTCGCCGTTGTTGTTCCGCTTCGATTATTTCTTTTTCTGTCCGTAACATTGAGGGTTCATTATAGCTGCTTTATTAATAACGTGATCGCGGCAATTGTGCGTGCTGGGAGCCTAGCAACACGTTCATATCAAACCACACTAATTATACCATTGAATAATGTCTGAAAAATGTATTCACGTGTTTACTCAAGACCTTTTACACGGACCAGTGTGTCCTTTTTGAAAACATTCGAGATATTTTTTGTCTTAGTTGGGTTGGGTCAAGGTTGGTATAAATTTAGAGGCAAATTCCACTTCATGGACAGAAAAAAAACAATCATTGGACTTTTAAAGCCAAGTGCTGCAGTCTGGTGTGTTCTGGTGATGCAACTATTCCAAACTGGCTCCAGCATCGGCATATTAGGGTATTCTCGACTACTGGTGGGTGGCCTTAGATGGTTGGTTAACACTGTTTTTAAGCAGATATGTATTAATAAAACCACTATTGACCTAACCACCACTGATTAGCAAATGCATTATCTTGTTTGCAAATTGTGCAACCCCAACACCGCATTCAGAATCAACCACTTATATGTACTGGTAAAATCAAACTTTAAACTCAAATGCCAAAGACTGTCGGATTATTTATATCTCAATTATTTTGTCCTGGGGAATCTTACATGACCTTGCAACAAAAAAAAGATTTAGATTAGTCGTCACGACACTTGTTCTAAATTTATTTATTAAGTCTAATAGTATAGAACTTGCAATAATTAGTTTGGTTCTAATAATTGGGTAGTAAAAGACCCACATGTGGTTACAGGCGCGTAAACAATCAAGAAATAAAATATACCAACAGTAGCTCAAAAGTCACCATTTGCACGAAAACCATCAAGCTTTTCATATTTTAAAGGAAACATTTCAGAGTTTCATCGTCAAGAATATTTTAAAGATGTTTCTATCAATTTAGCGTTGTCATCCGCGACCTTGATATAAAGGAATGTTATACCCACATATATATTCTCTCAATTTATGTGTCTAACCTAGACCGATATGTTGCCATATTATCCATTATTGATTATATTTGATGATCTCCATATTATTAAATGAAATTTATGCCTAACCAAAATATTTTACCACGTATCAGCCTCTAGCTATTATAAGGATATTCCTGTGCAAACAATATTTTCTTGACGTGTGAATATGGCGACATTGCTGAACAGCTACGTTTATAATAATGCATCAACCAACTCAAAATTCGCAATGTAGTGTTCTCTTATATCAAGGGATTTTAAACATATCGTGGTGTTATCCTTGTCATTTACGTGTCGTTCTTAAATATTGATTGTAATGGTTCTGAACATTTACATCGATAAAACTCTTCTAAAAAATACAGCCATGTGCAACGGTCTTCTATCATTTGCGTATATTTTTTCATGAGTGCCAGTAGTGTTTTATATATTAATACATAAATATCTCTTTGCTTGATTTATTCTTGGTGATCATTACTACCTAGGTAACTGTATTCGCTACTTGTTTCAATATTATATTCCTCCTTGTATCTACACTAAGCGGTCCAATCAACATCATCGACTTCGTACTCTCCTGCAAATTATCAGGTAACAATATAGTGGGCTTTTTCTGATAATATTTGCTAAGTTCACGTCGTTGCTGTTACAAGATAATTTATGAGTTGATTATTTTATCAATATGCTGCGCTTATAACTTTGAAAACTCATACAATATCTTTTGGGTTTCTTTGACATATACAAGTGATACATTTAAGCGAAGCAGAAATAATCTTTTCTGTAACGTTAAGCGCAATCCTAGATCTCATAGTTTGCTTTCAGAATAGAATATGTCCATAGATTCATGCCAAATAATTTACCCATTACTATGTGAATTGATCGTAATATATATATATATATATATATATATATATATATATATATATATATATATATATATATATATATATATATATATATATATATATATATATATATATATATATATATATATATATATATATAACACCGATCCGGTGGCCTAGTGGTTAGAGGGTCCGCCTTGGATGCGAGTGGTCGTGGGTTCGATCCCCGGCTGAGTCATACCAAAGACAAATATGGTGCTAACAGCTGCATCGCTTGACGCTCAGCATTAAGAGGTTAGTGTTAGGATAATGTGACTTTTTGGGATATCATGCTACATGTCTGCTACTGGCCGCCATGTATAGCCTATCAAGCCCCACAACAACAGCATCCGTTGTTGCTTATGATGAATCGGGTGCTTCCATAAAATCAATCTCGTGGGGAAGATTAATACAGAAACTTTCCAAAAGGTTTTCGTAAATTGAATAAATTTTAGAGGATCCATATTGAAGTTCTTCATTATTCGTTGAGTCATTCTCACAAATTTTATTTAGACAAAGTTTTAACAAAATAGTGACAGGGATAGAAATTTTAGAAAAATCCTTCTATCAATATTAATGTCCATACTACTTCACAAAAATAAATGTTACTTTCTAGGCACCTTCTGGAAAATACCGACAGAGTTACAAAATTAAAAATGGCATACACTTAAGCCATCTTTAATTGAAAAGAACTTAAGTCTTTGTATGATTAATGCATTGTCAGACAAATAACTGTTTCCTAGACACAAAGGGATTGAGTGTTACTGTTGGAATTTGAAACACGTTGTATCAGATTCAACTTTAAATAAGAGTGTTCCATTGTCAACCAGTTCATATTATGACTTTCTGTATAAGTCGTTAAATAAAGTTGAAAATGTTCGTAGAAGTAACCCAAGCTTTTGAGTCAGAACGAAGGCATAAATAGCGTAGGATGGCTTAACAAGGAGTGGTAAACTAATGTCAAGTAATTATGATACGGAACAAGCTCTTTGGTATTTTTCTTTACACAATAATGGCAGCAAAAAAAATTATGTCCATCCAGTCAACGAATTCTTTCCTTCATATCTAACCTGTAAAATAATTGTATTGTTCTAAAGCTATTGAACTCAGAATGACAAATTCATTTCGAAAAATAAACTTTTCTTTTTTCGAATCGAACAGAAAGACATTTGCACACACGTACGATTGTTTGCTATTGGCTATACAACCCATTTGCTGCAAGCAATACTTTTACATATCGTTCCTTCAAAGCCCAAGCAGATATGGTTCAGTCTTTAGCTCCTGCAAGGTAATCTAACAACAACTCGCATACATATGTGATGAAGCACACTCCTCTGTTAATTTAAATACAGTCGTTATCACTCGCTGAGTTCAGTTGTTGAAAATACAACTATGCTATGTCAGATACTCGCTACACTCGACAATTACGCAGAGAAGTTCGTTTGAAGCTGCCAATTTTATAGCTGGCGAAGGAAGCTGTAGCTACACTTCATCTAAAATTGGCTGAGTTTTTGACAGCATCAACATTTTAGATAGATATTTATAAAAGTCAACAAGACTGCTCAAAACCTCAATATGATCAACAGCTAAATTTAAAAGGACGACATTAGCTAACATTATTTAATATCTACATATGTTCAACTTCTCTCACATGGTTGCATTTTAAAACACAAATTTTGGTCCTTGTCTTGTGATGCTTAGAACTGTGGGTACATTTTCAGCATTTAATTAAACACAGAAGAAGTATGCGTGTTTTGAAGATGGCTTATGCTTTATTCGCTGAATGCATAATTTGATTATTAAAGCTGTAAATGTCGATAAGATCAACATGAAAGGAAATGATCAAAACCTGTCTTGTGGTAGAGCAGTTTTTCTTCTCACTATGAGGTCTTTTACTTATGTTTGAATAGGATTTATCATCTTTCAGATTTCCAGAGCCTTAAAAATAATAAAGCAAGCATATATCGGCACATCTGTATCCACCTGAATATTGCAATATTAAAAATACCAATAATAAGATCGAAAACTAAATTATCCTCTGAAGTCTACACTTTCAGCATATGCCTGATTATGAAAATTGCAGACAAAAAGAGCTAACACAACTTTCATTTTAAAATAGCAGCAACTTGCTCAGTAATTTTAGACTACAGTTGACGTTAATCATGTGTCGTCGATTGAAAAAATAATTGGTTTGCAAACCATTCATTACGTACACACAAGAGAATACTTTACAACTGCAAATAGTTTCCAGAATTGACATCTAGGAAATAGTAAATTGCTCCATCCATATAACTCAATTATTTTTGTGGGGTGTTCAAAATAAAATTAGACGGTGGTTTAGCTTTCGTCGTTGAAAGTTTTAAAAGACCTAAAACGTTTATTAAATTTGGATCAAAAGCATTAAATATATTGAATCTAAAATGTCGCAAAGAATTCAGTTAAATGATCCGCTGTCTCATCTAAATATTAATAATTAGGTCCTAATTAAAATCAATGCAAACGTTGATTCGTTAATCATACATTCTCTTGAGAAACAAATGCGGAGAAATGAAACTTTAATTATGAGCTATATGTGAGACAGGCATTACTGCCCATTATCTACATGTAAACAATATGTGAAATAGGCCTCACTGCCCAATATCTACATGTAAACAATATGTGAAATAGGCCTCACTGCCCATAACCAACACGTGAACTATATGCGAAATCGGCCTCACTGACCATTATCTACATGTGAACAATATGTGAAATAGGCCTAAATGCTCATTATCTACATGTAAACAATATGTGAAATAGGCCTCACTGCCCATAACCAACAAGTGAACTATATGCGAAATAGGCCTCACTGCTCATTATCTACATGTGAACTTTATGTAAAATAGGCCTTGATGCGAATTACCAACACGTGAGCTATATGTGAAATAGGCCTTACTGCCCATTATATACATGTGAACAATATGTGAAATAGGCTTCGCTGCCAATTACCAACACGTGAACTATATGTGTAACAAGCTTCAAAGCACATTATCTACATGTGAACTCTATGAGAAATAGACCTCACCGCCCATTACAAACAAGTGAACTATATGTGAAATAGGCCTAATTGCCTATTGCCATCATATGGACTATATGTGAGATAGGCCTCGTTGCCCATTGACATCATATGGATTATATGTGAAATAGGCCTCATTGTCCATTGACATCATATGGATTATATGTGAGATAGGCCTCATTGCCTATTGCCATCATATGGACTATATGTGAGATAGGCCTCATTGCCTATTGCCATCATATGGACTATATGTGAGATAGGCCTCATTGCCTATTGCCATCATATGGAACATATATGAGATAGGTGAAAACTGACTATTACTCTTATGACCGCTGCTACTAAGCAACCGTTATTCAGGAATACAATGTCAGTTTTTATTCCGATTTTGAATGGAATTACAACTTCATTAAATAGGCCATAACCAGAAACTCTCTATGTGATGTAGGTAGGAAAGCGAGATCATCAACTCTCCGTGTGATGTAGGTACGAAAACGAGATCATCAACTCTCCGTGTGATGTAGGTGCGAGAGCGAAATCATCAACTTTCCGTGTGATGTAGGTACGAAAACGAGATCATCAACTTTCCTTGTGATGTAGGTACGAAAGCGAGATCATCAACTCTCCGTGCGATGTAGGTACGAAAGCGAGTTCATCAACTCTCCGTGCGATGTAGGTACGAAAGCGAGATCATCAACTCTCTATGCGATGTAGGTACGATAGCGAGATCATCAACTCTCCGTGCGATGTAGGTACGGTAGCGAGATCATTAACTCTCCGTGCGATGTAGGTGCGATAGCGAGATCATAAATTCTCCGTACAATTTACGCATGCTAGCATGATCATCGACATACGATAACGAGATCATAAACTCTTGGTGCAATCTAAATATGGTAGCTAGGTCATTATCTATCCATGCATTTTATTTATGGTGGCTGAATCACAAATTATTCGTGCAATTTGTTTGAGGTAGTTAGATAAAAACTCACCGTATAATGTATGTATGTTAGCTAAATAAAAAATATCTTCGTTCAGTTTAATTATGGTAGCAAAATCATAAAATTTCCATTAAATGTATGTATGCTAACTCAGTCATAAACTCTCCATGTAATTCAGATAGGGTAACAACAACTTAAACTCTTCATGCAATATATGAATGGTGACTATATCATAAATTCTGTGTATTTATCTATTAGAGCTAAATCGTACTTCTCTGAACCTAACGTCTAAACTATCCAGTGCAATTTATGTATGGCAGCTCGATTATAAACTCTCTGTGTAGTCTTCGTTTAGCTAGATCAAGAATTTTCCGTTCAATTTAGATATGGTACCTAAATAATAAGCTCTCCATGCGATGTATGTATGGTAGTAGTAGAGGAAAACAAGGTTTTCAGCCCAAACCTTGTTTTTACTTCTCCTTACAAGTATAAACTATAGTCCTAAACTATCCCCACCCCTTTTTTTCAAAAGTATTAGTAAGGTTTCTAACCCACTCCCCTTTTCTGTTATTACAGTGTAAATGAATCTAGGTAGAGAGTTATGTACATGATCGGTATTCAGGTAAACTTCCTTATATCACAAAAGGTGGTATCAGGTATTTTACAAAGCAACAAACGCAGACAGGTATTTTGTATCGTTACAAAACAACAGGTGCAGGATGAGTCATCTATGTAAGCTCTGTCATACAGATGAGACGCATTTGTTAGAACAGGTGCATGCGTGGAATGTTCACGAACTACTCTAAAGACGGCAAGACGGGTTTTATTATCAGTCTACCGCAAGATTTTCATCAGATAACATATGCTGTACAGGGTGGAAATTAAACTGCGCATTAGAGCGTGGCGATTTCAGTTAACATGGGCAAGGCGGAAATTAAACAACGAATTAGAACAAACGCGAGAAAGGTAAGTTATATTATTTTATATCTCGTTACCAATTATCAATGTTTCAACTTTTGATATTAAAAATACTTCATTATCACGATTGTAGAGGCTAAATTTTACTTTACCGCTCACACAGCGACGTGACTCAAACAAATCATTTATCTGTGGTTTGTTTAGAGGATATTTTTTGTCGATAAAATACACCTTGACTGATCGAGATCAATTGTGAGTTTAGTATATTTTTGTTGGCTAACGGGGCTGTGAGAG